GGGGGAGGGAAAGAAGAAGGGGGAGAGGGAGAGTCTCAGAAAGACTTTCTGCTCAGCACGGAGCCTGACATGTGGCTTGATCCCATGACCCTGAGATCACGACCTGAGTGGAAACCAAGAGCACTATGTTTAACTGACTGAGCCACCCAGGCACCCCTCCATTGGGGAGAGTTTTAAAGGATATATGCCATGCATTTGCTTTCCATATGAAAATTTTATGTCTAAATAACTTTCAATGTATGAAATTTTACATTATTTAGTAAAACATTACACATCTGTTTGAATAATTTAACAAGGCTGAGATGATAGTATATTATTTGGTTAGCATAAATATTTTAGTAATAGTCATAGTGTCCTATGCATTATTATCATTGGATTACTATTTGTTTTCATAATGATAACAAATGCATACGATGGAATACATAGTAAGAAAATTTAACCCATCCTTCCAAGCCTTTATTTTTCTATATTTTCTATGAATCTTTAAAAATCAACCTTAAATTATCAAATCTTCTAGTTTGCCACAAAGTCTTTAATTTAGCCTCTTAGAGCAAATAACTGATGATCAAATCTCAATCATCACATAGACAAATTACCACTGACATAACCATGAGCTTTACATATTTAGGAAATAAATTATGGGAGGAACAATAAATAAAAGGAATAATACATAAATAATGAAAAGTATACAAAAAGAGCATGGAGAAAGCTATAAAATGCACCAAACCAAAATCTGTATCTTCAATATGGGAATGGATGAGGAAAGACTTGCTTTTTCTCTATACATCTTGACTTGTTACAATAAGGAAGTATTATTTTTAATTTTTTTAATTTTTTTTATTTATTTGACAGAGAGAGAGAGAGAAACAGCGAGAGAGGGAACACAAGCGGGTGGAGTATGACAGGGAGAAGCAGGCTTCCCGCTGAGCAGGGAGCCCAATGTGGGGCTTGATCCCAGGACCCTGGGATCATGACCTGAGTTGAAGACAGACACTTAACTGACTGAGCCACCCAGGTGCCCCTTATTTTTAATTTTAAAGTGAAATAAAAATTAATCAAAGTACAAATGCTTTATAATATAACTACACACTTTTAAAAATATGAAATATTACAATATTTACTGCTATTAGCCAATTGGTCTTACTTTCAGTGAAATGCCAGTGGAATTACATTTAATACTTTCAAGGAATATAATATGGATTAAATGAGTTTTTAAAACATTTTAAATTTAAATATTTAAGATGCAAAAAAAAGTTGACTGCCATCATACCTTACTGACACTTAAGCCTCCAAGTTTCATTTGATCCAAACACATTTACTTCTGTCTAAAAGATGATTCTTGCTTACTTCTTAGGGATCACATTCACTATCTGCCACCAGTATCTGCATTCTGTATGAAGACTAATCACTGTGTTCATCTACAGTGCATAGAACCCAAGTCTCTAATTTCATGTTGAGCCTATTCGACTTTAAGCCAGATGTTTTTTAAGCACCTACTGTGTCCAAAACCCTATACTAAACCCATGGTAAATAGAAATACAGGCAAGTAAAGTCCTTGCACTAAATAATTTGCAAAAGAGTTGGGGAGATAAAACAGATGCATATGGAAAACACTTAATTTAAAGGAATACACTGGTTATAAATGAGAGCACAGGTTAAATGAGTTCAGAAAGGGGAAAGGTTTGTAGGGCCTATAATAGTCTAGGAGAGTTACAAGAGGTATGGGATACAAACTGTAGAACATGACTACAGCATATTAAAATTTAAAAAGCTAGGGGCGCCTGGGTGGCTCCGTCGATTAAGTGGCCAGCTCTTGCTTTCGGATCAGGTCATGATCTCAGGGTCTTGAGATTAAGCCCTGGGTCAGGCTCTGTGTTCAGCAGGGTGTCTGCTTGAGATTCTCTCTCCCTCTGCCCCCTCCCCCTCTCACTCTCTAATTAATAAATAAATCTTTAAAAATAAATAAAATTTATAAAAGTGGCCACAGCAATATCTCTAATCCTACATGCTCTTCCAGAAGCTCAACAGTCCTATCAAGAGGTGAACTGTGTTACCTCCCACTTAAACCTAGGCAGACTTGTGATTGCTCCAAACAATAGAGTATAACAGAAATAATAACATGTGACTTGAGAGCCCAGGTTATAAAAAAGGATACAGCTTCCATATGGCTTTCTCTTTGGGGGTGGGGGAGAGCCACTGCAGGGAAATCAGCTAACATGCAGTGAGAAAAATTAGCTTCTGCAGAGAGGCCATTTGCACGAGCCCAGGTGGAAAGACCCACGTGCAAAGAAACTAAGGCCCCCAGACAACAGCCAGCATCAGCCCCTAAATTTGTGACTGAAAGAACATTCAGATGACTTTAGCTTCCAGCATTCAAGTCACCCAGATGAAGCCCCAGACACTGGACCAGAGACAAGGTGTCCTCCCGTGTGTGAACTGTTCAAATTCCAACCCTCAGATTTCATGAGCATAGCACATATTCATTTATACCACTAAGTTCTCAGGTAATTCATTACAGAGCCATAAAAGCTGAAACACAGAAAATCAATAGAGTTGGAAAAGAGAGAGCAGGGGCGCCTGGGTGGCTCAGTTGGTTAGGCGACTGCCTTTGGCTCAGGTCATGATCCTGGAGTCCCGGGATCGAGTCCCGCATCGGGCTCCCTGCTCGGCAGGGAGTCTGCTTCTCCCTCTGACCCTCCTCCCTCTCATGCTGTCTCTCATTCTCTCTCTCTCAAATAAATAAATAAAATCTTTAAAAAAAAAAAAAAAGAAAGAAAGAAAAGAGAGAGCAATAGGTGCAGCAGTAGGAAAGCATTATCTGGCTAGAGAAGATTATGGGTAAATAATGTGGGAAGAGATTATAAATGAAGATAGGGGACCATACACTGTGATGTGTCCTCCAGTTATGTTCACATTATTCTAAAAATACAGAAGGCAGTAGAAAGCCATCGGGAATTGGTGTTGAATTAGCTGAAGACTGAGATGCATGTAGTATTTTGGAAAGATCAACATGGGAGCAAGGCAAAGGGCAGTCTAGAGACAAGTGAGGCAATTCTCAGGCAATTGTGAGAATTCAGCATGCAACAAGTTCCAGAAGAATGGTACTGGGAATAGAAGTTCCCAGGAAAAATTAATAGGACACATTGGCTAGTCGTGTAAGGGAGAGGACTTTATTCAAAAATGTAGTCCCCATTAGTTTATAGCCTTTTAAAATTATTTAGCATTTCTGCATATTTCAACACAGTCTTTCATTACATATCTATGAATTTAGCCTTTCTGTCTGATGCTAGATTGTAAGGTCTGCCTTTCTGTGTCTCTTTCTCACACACACACAAGTGTACATGCAAACATGTACACCAAATTATAGTAAAAAAAATCAGAATACCACTTCTAATTTCAAACAAAGTTACTACTAGTTTGAGGGCACTGTAATGAAATCTAAAACAACACTCTTACTGGACAGTAATCTTAATATTACTAATACTTACGTCTAACTAAACATAGCATGTTTAAATATTTATTAGAAATATTTACATATGGGTGCCTGGTGGATCAGTTTGTTAACCTACGGCCTTCAGCTCAGGTCATGATCCTGGAGTCCCGGGATCACGTCCCACATTGGGCTCCCTGCTCAGCAGGATTCTGCTTCTCCCTGACCCGTCTCCCTCTTGTGCTTTCTCTCTCTCTCATTCTCTCTCTCTCAAATAAATAAAATCTTTAAAAAAAAAAAAAAAGAAATATTTACATAACCATGGTAACAGAAATGAATAAAGTGCTTCTCTAACCAATACACAGATTTGGTTAAAGTGTGCATCAAAAAGCAGCATAAAGGGCACAAAACACATTCTTTAAGAAATATAGGTCATATTGACCTGTACACTATTATTTCATTCCACACGTAAATTAATAAAAATTTGAATAGATGTTTCAGTCAGTAAAAATGAAAAATGAATAGAGATGATAGTAACCAAATTTCCAGGTCATTAAACCTAAACTTTGATAATCACTGAAGATACCATAGTGAAATTATAATACATAAATTTGATTCCAACAAATCAGTACTTTTTCTTTTTAAAATAGTCACAGTATAATGAGGTAATCTAATAAGTAGTAGCATTCAGTCTAAATTTGGTCAATAAAAACAGTTATGTAAAGAGCTTTAGAAAATCCTGATAGGATATAATTTTATTACAATGAATAAATAAAATAGGTTTCAAGTAAAGGTATAAAATTCTTGCCTTACTTTTTTTTTTTTTAACTCAGGAAGCTTATGCTATACTACAATCTTGATGTTATTTTAATGTCTAAAGTTTAAACTGTTATTCAAACAATAATGGAACTATTCCTTTACAGCACTATTTTGACATTTTAATGAAACCTTTCTACATCTGGTTTGATTTAACATATTTTAAAGATTATGCTGTGACTTTTCATTTAAGATCATAAAAATCCCCATAATTTGGTTGATAACATACTTTGCTATCATCTGGCCACAGTCTGGAAATGGCAATA